GGCTTCTATACCCTCATCGTGCGGAATATTGGTGTACAAAGATGTGACGTCCATAGTCACGAGGAGGGTATGATCTGGGAGGCCAGTAGAGGGCGTCTTGTTAATGTAGTCCGTGGTGTCCTTGAGATAGGATGGCAAATTTTCTACGTGTGGACGGAGATGTAAATCAATGAATTCAGAAATTTTCTCCGTGGGATGTCCAATTGCGCTGACTATGGGGCGACCTGGCATGCCTTCTTTGTGTATTTTAGGAAGCAGATAGAATTGTCCTGGTCTACAGTCAATAGGATTTAAGGTCTCATAGACGTTGATACCAATCTCATTTTTCTCAAACATATCGTCAAGAGTTTTGGTAATGGCGGTGGAGAATTCTTTAGTAGGGTCAGAGTCCAGTTTCTTATAGAAACGTTCGTCTGAGAGTTGTCTTTGTGCCTCCGCCATGTAAATCTCTTTATCCAGTACGACAACTGTAGAGCCTTTGTCTGCTTTCTTGATTACAATGTCATCCCGATTTTTTAATGATTGTAAGGCAGATCTCTCTTCCTTACTCAAATTGTCGGGAGTCTTGTCTGGCACTGAAAGGAGCTTCTCTATGTCTGACTCAACGGCGTCAATATACGACTCAAGCGCGCCACACTTGCCCGGTGCAGGTTCCCAGTCACTGTAGAAACAATAAATGTTTATCAATGAAGGGCAAGTTGGACTTCGATAGCCTCTGGAAAGTTGTTTTCCCTGTTTATTTTGTCACAAATGTTAAGATTTGAAACCGAAAGTACATTGCAAATGGTGGATTTTATAGGGGTTTTGTCTTTATAAATGTCATGCTTTCAATAACAACCTTTCAGAGACCATTCACGTCCAACTTGCCCTCCATTGATACACATATATTATTTCTGCAATGATGATTTCACAAAAAAGCAAGTGCATTTTCTTTAAATATATGCACATTTTTTATACATATATTTTCTCAAAAAATATCTTTTTTAAAATATTTGTTTTTTAAGTGATACTTTCTATCTGTAAAGCAATGATATATTTATAAAATGTAAAAAAAAAAAATTAACTTTACACCTCACATAGTTTTTTGGACATGTTGACCTTTGACAAATCCTTAAGAGTTTGATTGTTTAATTGTATGGTTATGATCACATCCCTATGCATATAAAGGAACTTCTGAATTTTCTTCCTCTTTATCTTTCAAAAGATGCTTTTAACCAAAACTAATGGTAAATCCTGAAGGTTCAACTGTTCAAGACAATAAGGTGAACATTAGTTTATGCTCGACATACTTTGCAGCTGCATCATGAAGAACAAAAACGGACAGCTAGGTCAATGCAACATTGACAATTTAAAAGAAAATCAAGCTCCGAATTCATTTTAATGGACTGTCCTTAATCTATTTTTTTTTCAAAAAGCATATACAAAGCCGTATGTCCATCATTTCAAGCAATAAACACTGTACAAAAATAAAAATTAATCCCCAATGAATTCCTAATATTGACAGCTATACAAATTTTCAGGTCTTTAATGCTTGGGTCATGGGGGACATATATTATGTTTTTATGCCCATTAATTAAATCTCCTTTAAAATATATAAACAAATGATATTGATTTTATCAATTGATATCATCCCAACTGGATACCTATATTTATCCTCAATGGTAACCTTGATCTGTTTACTGTCACATTTTAAAGGGGCATATTTAATAATTAATGCTTGTGAATTTCAATTCTTAAAAATCCTGACTTTTTTTCCCAATATTATTGATTCCTTTGAATTTCTCACCTCCTGTGTACATAATGCCTTGCCATTATCTCCTGAATTCCAGTCAGATACTTTATAAATGTTATAACAGCAGCCTTTTATGGTAGATACAAAATTGATCTTTCCAACACTTGACCTAAATCCTATGTAAAAGGAATTCCAACAAAGCACTAAAATAACTCCCATCATTCATGGTAGTCCGTAACTTATCTAGGATTTAAACCATAGAATAACCTACATTTAAAGTAATTGAAAACAATACTAACATTGATATTTTCACCCATCTTTTAAAGATTTTAATTGCAATTAATTAATACTTCACTAGAATTGGGAGTGGGAGGACAAGGATTCATTTAAATGTCAAAAGGCACTGAAGTTCTTCAAAAGCTATACAAGTCTTTTTTTCAATAACTTCTGTTTTTTTCATATATTTTTTTCCTCCTGAAGAAGAAATATCATTTATTATTATAAACTTTAAATTCAGTGATCATCCAATTCTTTCAGACTAAATGCATTCACCAATAATGAATGTCAAACCTCAATTATTGTATATTGAATTCAAAATACCAATAACACTTCTTGACAAATTAAAAATGAATTTATTTATCAAAATGTCTAGTATGATGTCTGTCAACAGTTGATTCACTAGCCCAACAAAAATTAATGGAGACGTAACAAAATAAAATGATCTAATAGAGCGAAGTTTAAAAATTTCATCTTCTTCTTCCCCGTTCCCTGCTCCGGTCATCGCTTCTGCTGCGTTTTCTGGCCGACCTATCCCTGCTGCGGCTCCCACTGCGATTTCTGGGGGGTCTGTCTCGACTGCGACTTCTGATTCTGATTCCCCCCCTCCGACGGTCATCATCCCCTCGCCAAGGACTTCTCTCCCGTCTTTCCTGCAAAGTTTATACACAGACACAAAATATTTAAAGCTAGAAATAATATATTGAGTCAATATAACAAGTAATCAAACTTTGTAAAATAAGGTAAAAGCAGAAAATTTCGTTGGGGATTAAATTTTGTTTATTTCATTGTTAACAATTACCAACGAAATCCCACACAAAATTTTCATACGACTATGTTTTGAATAGAGTTACTTTCAAAACAACGAAATTTAATGCCTACCAAACCATTTTAAATAACAAATTAACAAAATTTTATCCCCACAAAAATTTGTGTTTCTACTGTATCTGTTAGAGAGTTGGACAAAAAAACTTACTTGTAATCTCTTAGCTGCATTTTCTTCTCTCTCTTTCCACATTTTCTCTTGTTCTTCTTTTTCCTCCTGTCTTTTCTTCTCCCGAAGCGATGCCTGCAAAATGTTACAATTTTTATATCAGCATAATCCAGTTAATTAATTTGCAGTTTTACAACATGGACAGTAACCTGGAAATCTGTATACCTTTTAAATTAACAATCATTCAAACCTGAAATTGGTTTATTAGTTATATATTTATATTATGCTTACACTTATCAAAGGATGGCATTAACCACACTTCATAAATCTTTCTTTGTAATCTAATGTTACCTGTTCTTCTGATAAGGGTATCCAGTAAATACACGGAGTGGTTTTTGTCTTCTTAAACAAATCATCCAGGAGTTTTGCTGGGGGCTCATCTTCAACTTTCTGGTCTACAACACAGATTGATCAAATTGAAACCGTCACTTAAAAGAAAAGATAATTACTTTTGGTGGCTTTATTAACATGGGTAAGTCAAAATACTAAATGTCCTTTTAATTAATTACCTCTTCTATCTCTCCTACTGTCTTGTTCCCCACTCCGGCCCCTGCCCCTCTTGGGTGACCTTGACCTACTTCTCCCTCGGCGAGGAGGCCCCTCCTCTCTTTCCTGTGACTGTCTGATCTTGTGGCGGTCCCACTCCCTCATTGGCGGTGTCCGGCGCCTCTTTTTCTCCTCCTCTTCTTCCTTTTTCCTGGCCTCCCTCCGCGCCTCCCTCTCAGCTCTTTCTTTTTCCTCCCTCTCCTTTCTAGTGTCCTGCTTGACCTCTTTGGTTATTACGATGGGCTTGTCTGCATTTTGGAATCTTTCCAGCTGAAAAAAGTCAGTGATGCTTTATGTTTTTATACAGTTTTTATTAAAACTTCAAACTACTGTACTGTATTCTTATGTTACTTCTGGACATAAGATAAAACAGTGCATAAAATGTAGTATCCATTTGTTTTCATTTACAAATAACAAGTGATATCTTTATACATTCAAACTTAATGGGACCATAAAAATAATTTGAGACATCTTAGGATTTGAGATATTCAGATTAAAATACATAATAAACAGTTGAGATTTCCAGAGATATTAATGTTTGAAAAATATAGCAGTTTATCTTTAGCTGCATGCAAAATTCTGTTACTTACAATACTTGTGATTTTTAAAAAAAAAATTTAACCTCTACACAAAAAATGACTGTCCTGATAGAAAGTCAAGTGTGCAGTATTTAGTGTCTTGGACAATTACAGCATGTCTAACTACGTACCTCCTCCTGAGAAGCGTATTCCACTCTGAGAACTTTGGGATTAGATGACGGCCATTGGGTTCCATGCAGGGCTTTTCTTGTTGCTGTGGCCTCCTCTTCCTTTTCATACTATTTAAAGAATTGTTAATTTATGAAAAATTATGTTTTATATCCTGTACATGTAATTAAAAGAAAGCAGGCTTCATATTTTAGCAGCTTTGGCACAGATATTGATGCGCTATTTCATAAATACCACTAAGTAATCGTATAATACAAAATATAACGTAAAAGCGTGTACAGTGCTTATTCAAGACTATGCCAACAACTCAATACACAGTGATTGTGCTAAATATTGAATACGCCAATTAATGAACCAATATAAGGGGCATTTATTTATAACAAGAGGCCCAGGGGCCACAGCGCTCATCTGAGCACATCGGGCTTGAATTTAACCCACCCCCCAGGCGTTTATCATTTGAACAAACTAGAATCTACACTACCTGAGGATGATTCCATATAAATAACACTAATCATAACTTTGAAGTACTTGAAAAGAAGAATTTAAAAGGTTTCCCAATATATTCCTATGTAAAACTTGGGTGGGCCATTTTGGCCCCACCCTTGCCCCAGGGGTTATGATTTGAACAAATTTGAATCTACACTACCTGAGGATGATTCCACATGAGTTTCATCTTTCCTGGCCCAGTGGTTCTAGAGAAGAAGATTTTTAAAGATTTTTCCTATATATTCCTATGTAAAACTTGGGTCGGCCATTCTGGCCCCACCCTTGCCCTGGGGGTCATGATTTGAAAAATTTGAATCTACGCTACCTGAGGATGATTTCACATGAGTTTCGTCTTTCCTGGCCCAGTGGTTCTGGAGAAGATTTTTAAAGATTTTTCCTGTATATTCCTATGTAAAACTTGGGTCGGCCATTTTGGCCCCACCCTTGCCCCGGGGGTCATGATTTGAACAAACTTGAATCTACACTACCTGAGGATGATTCCACATGAGTTTCGTCTTTCCTGGCCCAATGGTTCTTGAGAAGAAGATTTTTTTAAAAATGCCATCAAATTTTTATTAATTCCCAATTATCTCCCCTTGAATGAGGGCGTGGCCCTTCATTTGAAGAAACTTGAATCCCCTTTACCCAAGGATGCTTTGTGGCAAGTTTGGTTGAAAATGGCCCAGCGGTTCTTGAGAAGAAGTCGAAAATGTGAAAAGTTTACAGACTGACAGACAGACAGCTAGACAGACGGACAGACGGACGCTGGACAAAATGTGATCAGAAAAGCTCATTTGAGCCTTTGGCTCAGGGGAGCTAAAAATTACAATAATTGTGCCAAATTGATTCTCATTAAAAACAGTACACATGTTGTCATTTTATTTTCATTGAACCCTAAAATCCAAAGTAAAAATATTTACTAAACTCAAGAATAAACAACTTACAGTTACAATACAGTGGGATTTGATGTTATCAATCCAGAAGCTGTCCTCCACCAAGTTTCCGGTTCTCTTCAGTAACTCCTTTAACTGATTGAGGGTGAAGGGTCGCACCAGGTTCCTGATGTGAACCACATTGGACACTGGTTTTCTAGGAGGAGATGGCGACCTTCTGGCTGCTGTCGGTTCATCTGGTTCTATCAGTGGTTGAGGTCGACTGATCTGTCGGATAATTTTTGGTTCTGTTTCTATCAAATTGTAGAAAGCCACATAGAATGAGATATTTCTTTTATATGTAAACATAAATGTATATAATAACATTTTGTTTCTTTTAATCTAATTTGTCCTAATAATTGCCCCTACACCTGCAGGCACCCCAAAGTGATTTACAATATAAAACAATAACAGCTCCCTCCCAAGCACACCCCCTAATTGCTAACTTTTCAAATTCATTTTTCATTTAATATAAAATTATTCCCCCAGTTAACCCCCTTCTTTTTTTAGGCACATATGTAACAAGAGGCCCAAGGGCCTTGAATCGCTCTTCTGATAAATTGTACAACCTATCAATTGTATTTGAAGCCTCTAACCCTTAGTATCCTAAAACCCAAGTTGCATCAACTGATAAAAAGTTTGATGATTCTTAGCCAAATAGGACTGAAGATATTTTAATAAAGCTATAAAAAAAAAACATGAGTAGGTCACGGTGACCTACTTTAAGATTGAAGTTTTCTGAGGACTCAAGATGCATAATAGACATTAATGCAAGATGCATTAATAGACAAACTAAGATTGAAGGTTCTAAGCCAATATGTATTTGAGATATTCAAAAGTATGTCACCTTGACCTACTTTTTGGTCTACATTCTTGGAAAACCCAAGTTGCGTCAACTGACAAAGTTTGATGATTCTAAGCCAATAAGTACCAGAGAAACTTAAATATAGCCATAAAATGTCAAAAGTAGGTCACCCTGACCTACTTTTTGGTCGACATTCTCTGAAAACCCAAGAGGCATAAACTAACAAAGTTTGATGATTCTAAGCCAATAAGTACCTGAGATACTTAAATATAGCCATAAAATGTCAAAAGTAGGTCATCGTGACCTACTTTTTGGTCGACATTCTCCGAAAATCCAAGATGCATCAACTGACAAAGTTTGATGATTCTAATCCGATAAGTACTCGAGATACTTAAATATAGCCATAAAATGTCAGAAGTAGGTCATTGTGACCTATATTTTGGTTGACATTTATCAGAGGCCTAAGATGCATCTGCTGACCAAGTTTGATAATTCTAAGCCAATAAATACCTGAGATATTCAAAAGTAGGTCACTGTGACCTACTTTTTTGGTCTACATTCTCTGAAAACCCAAGAGGCATAAACTAACAAAATATAGCCATTAAATGTCAAAAGTAGGTCACCGTGACCTACTTTTTGGTCGACATTCTCCAAAAACCCAAGATGCATCAACTGACAAAGTTTGATGATTCTAGTCCGATAAGTATTGGAGATACATAAATATAGCCATAAAATATTGAAAGTAGGTCACCGTGACCTAATTTTTGGTCGTCACTCTCCGAAAACCCAAGATGCATCAACTCACAAAGTTCGATGATTCTAAGCCAATAAATACCTAAGATACTGAAATATAGCCATAAAATGTCGAAAGTAGGTCACAGTGACCTAATTTTTGGTCGTCACTCTCCGAAAACCCAAGATGCATCAACTCACAAAGTTTGATGATTCTAAGCCAATAAATACCTAAGATACTGAAATCTAGCCATAAAATGTCGAAAGTAGGTCACAGTGACCTACATTTTGGTCGACATTTTTCAGAGTCCCAAGATACATCAGCTGACCAAGTTTGATGATCGTTGGTCTGAAGGTAATCAAAATATGCCTTTTAAACAATTTGAAAAAAAAATGCCTGCAAAATTCTAAAAGTAGGTCACAGTGACCTACTTTTTCTTAAATGTGTTTTAAGGTCCCAAGATGCAGCAACTTACAAGATTTGATGATTCTAACCCTCTCATTGTCTGAAATAATGGGATGAAATGTTTTAAAAAGGATAAGTCATAAAGTTCAAAAAGTAGGACACGGTGACCTACTTTTAAGTTGACGTTGTTTAAGGACCCAAGAGGCATCAACTGACAAAGTTTGATGATCATAGGCCTTAAAGTGTCCAAAATATGCCTTCAAATCCATTTGAAAACAAATGCCCGCAAAATTAAAAAAGTAGGTCACCGTGACCTACTTTTGAGTTAACATGATGTGAAGTCCTAAGATGCATCAACTTACAAGATTTGATGATCCTAGTCCTTATAGTAAGCAAAATATAGACATTTTCATTACTTGTAAATTTAGGTCAACTTTGAAGTGACCTTGAGACCACGCCCTTTGCCCCAGGGTCATGCCTTGAACAATTTTTAATCTTCAACATATTCTGATCATTGTATGTAAGTTTGGTGAAAATCTGCCTGGTGGTTCTGGAGAAGAAGATTTTTTTGCAACCAGTACTTTTGGTTTTGTTTTCCTGATTATCTCCCCTTGTTTTAGGGTCCCAACCCTTATTTTAGTATAAATGGTAGCCCTTGGGCCAAGGATACCCTGTGACAAATTTGACACTGATTGGCCAAGGGGTTCTTGAGTTATGGCCCATATTCTAAAAAGTTAACGCACACCGCACGACGCACACCGCACAAATGGCCATAGCATTAGCTCTTTGAGCCTTTGGCTCAGAAGAGCTAATAAATTTACAGCTTGTTGATTCAATAACCACACTGTATTCTCAATTTTGCAAGCAATTTATGCACTTATGGGGCAAAATGGTAATGCTATTCCCCCTTACTTTTCTCTGGTGAAGACTCCTCTTTTTTCTCCACTTTCCTGGCTGGCTCCTCCTGGTCACCTGTGCCCTCCCCCTGCTCCTCCTCCTCCTCACTGTCTGACTCCTTGTCCTTGTCATCCTCGTCCACGACCTCGCCCTCTGACCTATCATCTCCGTCATCACCCTTCTCCTCATCTTCACGCACAACCTAGTGAATCAACCAATAAAACAATGGATTTGGAATTTTTTGACAATTGAACCATGCTTATAGTGTGGCCATGCCTTGTACAGTAAAATGGCTGATTAAACACCTGGGAAATCCCTTTTCACTGTTTCATTTCCTTTTTACTATTTTTCATGTTCTTTACACTGTCTTTTCTGACTTTCTGTCTATTCTAACACAAAAATTTGTCTCCCACTCTCTGTCTGATTAGACAGGTTTCACTGTAATATGCAATGTTCCATGGATGCAGAGAACTGAGATAAACTGAACTAGCTTTAAGCTTTTAAGCTCGCAGAACTTGGTTTGCTTAACTTACAATTGTTCTTTGAATCTTGACCTCCTGTGGATTTTCCTCGGGTTCATTTTCTTGATCCGAGATCCTCTCATCTGGAAGATCCAGATCCAGGACTGGCTCAGATATAGGGCTGGATTTGATGTCTGGAATCAGCTCCTGGAAAAATTACAATTTTAATTTTGAATTCAAGTGATTAACATTTACTCTTGGACTTTTTTAAACAGATTTACATGAAATTTTTATCCATATGGTAGTATTGTATATTTTTTAACTTAATTGTTGTTATATCTTATTGAAATTAAGTTTTTGAAATTCCAATTAAAAAAAATTAATGTAAACTGCAAAACAATAGTATAAAGAAGGGTGTACCTTGAGTGACTCCGTACTGAACTCTATACTTGACAGTCTTTTATTCTTGGCCTGGGGGGTAGTGGTGGTGCTGCTACTTGACCGGGCTGATCCCCATTTCCTCTTCCTGACCGGCTTCTCCTGGGGCTCCTCAGGCTTCTTCTGGGTCTTGTCATCAGCTAAAAAGGAAAACAATGAAATGACTGTGTAGGAGTTATGAAGGCATCAGGATGAAAATCTGGATCATACACATGCAAGTACTACAAAACAACTATTATTTGTCATTTTTTATTCCCATTTCCTCAATTTGAAATCAATAAGCAGCAATTTATTTTCGTGGCTGAGGAAACATTCTCTACTAATACATTACAAAATCAAGAGTTCTGCGAGTAAATGAATATTTCTTGCATGTGAATAAAATTTGGTTTATAGTACTTCAGTGTCTCCTAAAAGGTCATATTTTGCTCCTTTTTTGAGATCTTTCATCAAAAAGTAAAAGCAAAGCTGAAACTTTTATTTAGTCACCTCTTATCCTAGAAGAAGCTATTGAGAAATTTTTTTTCAAATTTTGAAAGATTGTTGGTAAAAAAAAAATTATGTGCAAAAACCTGATGAGGAAACTGTTTGTTGTTCACTCTTTTTGTCTGTTTTCTCTTCCTGTGAAATATAATGAAGTAAAATCCAACATTAAATCAATACGACCAAAAGAGATTTTCCTGCCAAACTTGACTTTTTTTAAAACTCACATTTTTCCAAAATAATATTTTGCACATCATTTAAATTGCCTAAATTCAAATAATGAAAAATTTATATACTTTGTATTACTGTTTTGATGTTTGATTTTTAAAATTTTCTTCAATATTACACTTTATTTCTAATTTATCATTTTTCTTTAAATTAGACTTGTGGTGGCCCCACCAGTCATGCATCAGTGCACACTGTGCAAGTATGACTGATCATGACCTGGCCTGCTGCAACAAAAATACATCACATGATTACTGAAGCAAAAATACCGCCAATACTTGAGTGCTGCACTACGACTTCTGACCTATGACCTCAGTTAAGGGGTGATGCCAAAACAAACTAGTATTTCCAGCGTCTGATGCTATCTAGTCTACGAGCAATAAGGATGAACGAGAGAAGGGACGTAATATCGGTGGATTCCCCCAAATAAATTACCATAGTATCCTGGCTTTGAATTTCTGTTAGAGGAAGTGAGATAGTGGGTCAAGTAACATAAATGTCCCATATTTCACAGCATACATTAGACGGACAATCCAACGAAGACAGGGTCACAATACGCAGTGTCCCAAATGAATTGTCACAGTGTCCATAGTTGTTAATAACTATGAACAATCCAACGATGATAATTGCCATCAACTTTGAACAATCCAACGATGATAGTTAATATCAACTACAAATAATTCCAACGATGAGACTGATTCATCCTCAAAAGAAGTGGAGTCAACAGTGGAAATTCCAATCCTTGGTGTGGTAGAAGTCCAAAAAAGGTGACAAAAGGTCCATAGTTGTTAATAACTATGAACAATCCAACAATGATAGTTAATATCAACTATGAATAATCCAACGAAGAGACTGATTCATCCATAAAAGAAGTGGAGTCAACCTTGGAAATTCCAGTCCTTGGTCTGGTAGAAGTCCCAAAAAGGTGACTAAGGGTCCATAGTTGTTAATAACTATGAACAATCCAGCGATGAGATTTCTGTGATCCAAAAGATGGGCCAGCAACAAACATCACTTAATCTATCCAATCTGTGGTGTAGGATAGTAACAAAGGGTGGTCCATAGTTGTTAATAACTATGAACAATCCAACGATGAGATTTCAGTGATCCTTAGGATAGGCCAGCAACAGAGATCACTTAGTTTGTCCAGTCCGTGGTGTAGTATAGGAAACAAAGGATCTATTGTTGTTTCGTGTGGTGATCCAGTGTGGGGTAGGTCACAAAATAAAATGACAAAAGGTTCATAGTTGTTAATAACTATGAACAATCCAACAATAATATCTCTTTTGATGTTTGTGGTGTTATGATCCAACAGCAGATCCAAAATTTGTTGTTGGTTGCTAATTTGGTGACTTGTACTTTCATTAGGTGTTAATGAGGCAGTCAA